AAACAAACAATGTTTTAGAAGTGGCACAACGGTATGTCTGCGGACTTACAAGTTAAAATCTGGGTTTCGATACCCGTGGTGGGCAGAGCACAGATAGCCCATTGTGCTTAATTTCAAACAAACAAACGTTTTAGAATTAAATCTTAGTTCTCCACATCAACATTGATATGTTTACAGATAAAAACGAAATTCTCAGCTTCTGGAGGGCAGGAGTATAAAAAATCTGAATACTCAGTAACTTCTTCCTCACTCGTAACAAGTCCATTGTTGTTAATAATGCATTTTCTTTAATATGTTATGCGTTTATGGATTGTGTCTTCAATTCTGTTTACCCATTTTTTTTTAAAAAAAAGGATTACTTTTAAGTTCTTCATTTTACTCCTTTTAAAGTAAAACTTTACTAAGTGGCTTATTATTAGATTACTTGTTTAGTGCATTACCAACCAATTTTGTAACATTTCCGTAACTTAGGGCCTTTACTTATTAATAGTCGCATGTAACCATTAGTTACGAGGTTACGGTTACTGACGAGTACGTGGTCGAAAGGAGAATAAATGTAATGACAGGAGAAAAAGTCGAGTAACTCCAAGGGCGTCTGGAGGGTGGGTGGCAAGAGTGACACCCCCCCCCCCTCGGAAAATGAGAAACATAATTATTTCTTTACCCAATTCACAATTTCACACTACTTTGCCCCTACATGTAAAAATTTATGCGGACGCCCAGGAGGAGTTACTTTTGCGAGAATAGCTAGTGGTTGGGTATTTAATTTTGCAAAAGATGGCACAGAGGAGCCGGTGCATAAGTCCAATTCTAATTGCACAATCGGATCAGAATGGTGACACACTTCCCCGGAATGGGATGGCAGACCATCGCAACTACATCATACAGCTGGGTAGACTGAAACAATTTGAGACGTGAGCCCACAACATCAACGACAGGATCAAGCTTCCCCAGTTTTGAGTGTTAGGTAATAACTGATGTACAAAAATGTAACTGACTAAATTTAGATTTCAATTTAACTAGTTAAATACTTCTGACAATAAGTGGAACAGAAAGGTAAACCTTATCCTTACGGTCATACACATTAGATTTAACTGATGACTAAATAGAAAGTAACAACTAGTTTACATTACTCACCAAACTTAACGACATCTGAATTTACGTTTCATTGTTTTAATAGATAGCCCTCTTAAGGTAACTTATAAACATTTAGTTTGATAAACTTACGCTAGGAGGTCTCGTACTAATCTCTCTAGTTACTTAAACCCTGTTTGTTTTGTGTTTAGGGAATTGAGAAAAATACCGATTATATAAAAATACTGTAAAACAACACCATCCAGATCACTTTCAAGTTATTTCCTCACACTAAACTTTAAAACATGTGCAAATTGTGACCTTAAGTCCTTCTGCCACATGTTATTTTACTTATTTACTTACTGTTACATAATGTGTATTTACTTTTAGTCCATTTCACGTGTAAGTTGAGAATTAGGTACGTGTAGTTTCGACTGATGTAGGATTACTATCAAATCTAGAGTTGTCTCTTTTGCAAGAAATCGCGAAGCTTTATAAATTCACAAAAAAAGTTAAAGAATAATCAAAATGTGAATGTTCTTATTAGTTTGTTTTTAATTAAACACAAAGCTACACAATGGGCTATCTGTGCCCTGCCCACCACGGGTATTGAAAACCGGATTCTAGCGTTGTAAGTCCGCAGACATACCGCTGTGCCCCTGGGGGCTATTGTTATTGGAGCCTTCAGAGGAGCTGAAGTTTAAGTTCTTCATTAAACTTTTTTTTTTACTATTTACTTTCAGAAGTAAGGTAATGCATCACATAAGTAAAAAACGTAACCGTTTTCTATCAGTAAATATGATTTACTGCCAAATTTTAAGTAATGCCAAAAGAGCGAATATAATACAAAAAAATTAAGTATTAGTATTTACAACTTATTCCAAAACGGGGAAAAAAAGTTTAAACGCTAAAGTTTGTTTAAAGAAGTATCTGGGTTTGATTTAAAAACAACAAAAATACTCAATTTTAAACGTCCTACAAATAAATAACAAATGTCTATAAAAAGTAATACTGAAGTAGCCGTAATGATGATGAGTATTATATTTACTTTTCAGAAAAAGTTTTATTTGATATATATAATACATTCAATAGATGGCGCCAAGAGTTATAAAATAAAACCAGTACAGCAGCGAGAAGATATATACATGCATTAGTTTTAACATCTTTACGAATATACATAGCTGTATGCAACATAAAATCGCATTTTATGGCTTTTATTATTTTGTATTTTATAGCTAAATATTGCATTATAAGAATTTTTGACGACACGATAATTCAGTTATTCTGAAGAAGTATCGCTCTGGAAATTATTTCAAAAACACACATACCTTGTAAAGAAAACTTCCCATTTCCGAAGTTCCCACTTTTGATCCTCTTTTGAAACAGGCCAAATAGTCCAGAGTTAACATAAAATAGCGTTCTTTCCAACGACTGAAGAATTTATCCCTCTGTTGCCATAGCAACCCCTTTTTTAGCGTGGTAGTTTCCAACATGCACGTTGAATCCGTTTCAGCGGAGGTCATCTTGCACTATTTTCTGAGATCGATTTGTGCCTTATATTCTGGTCATCACCACACTCCACAGCCTTCCATCAGACTAGGACAGCTAAAGGTCATTAATTTCCAAACTATAATTAATACAATACGTATAATACTTCTTGTTCGAAACTGTGTCTGAAGGCAACTTTTTTTAAACTAATACCAAACAATATTTAAGATAATATATTTCATATTCTCAGTGTTTGTTGTTAAGCGCAAAACTGTACAATGGGCTATCTGTAGTGTATCCACCGTGCGGATAAGACCCGAATTTTTGCGTTTTATAAGATCCATAGCTTACCGCTGGACCACCGGTTGGTGGCGGGGAGGGCATTCTGTAAAATAAATGTATATTTTTTCTTGGTTTTGTATATTGTGCGCCTGCAACTGACGTAGAACGAGAAAATAACGATTCTATTAAAGCGTATTTCTTAGTTTGATGAGCAATCGCAATATACAAAGCACGCGTAAACTGCATTAAACGGAGCAGAAGAAAGCTTTCGGGCAGGATGAAAATTGATAAGAATTTGGATAAATGAATAAAAGTAAAATGGTTGGTATGAAGGCCTGAGGATGCTTCGGGAAGTAACGATTGGCTAGGTTTGATATCGTGGTTAAAGAGATAGACTGTGAATCCGAGGGTCCATGGTTCGCATCCCATTGCCGCAAAATTTTAGATGTGCTGTAAGACTGACGATTAAATCCCATTATTAGAGTAGCCCAAAAGCTGGCGGTGGGAGCTGTTGAATAGATTCCTTCCTTCTAGATCTATCAGTTCAAAATTAGGAACGGCTAGCCCTTGTGTAGCTTTGCGCGAATATCTGAAACAAACAAACGTAATGTAATATAGGCTTACGTTCAACCTGAATCCCCATTCACGTTTCTCTTCTACAGCTGAACGTTCAGGTTTTACTTGCGTAGAATACACTGAGTCACAGCTAGTAAGTGCTATATATGATGTACTGCAAACCGGTAGGACTAATTCAAATCTCTCGTATCGATCCCGGCAATCTGCGACTCTGTGTTTTCCCTGCTGGTGAAAACACTGTGCTGTGTGTGTTTCTATAATAACGTGATTACAGCGGAGAAAAATGAGCTTTGCAACTGATATTTTCTTCTCGATACAACGCTCAGAGAAAAAATAGCATAGTTGACTAACTGGCTTATAATTTATCACGTTTGCTTACTGCTCTTTCCACTCACGAGGTATGTATCGCCATAATGAAATAGATACGTTTTCGATCACTTTCAGGAAGCAAAGTCAATTTTGGAAGCAGCAAAAACAAGCTAAACTGGTTATTTAGTTGTTGTTTTTTAAAGCCGCTAAAGAAAAAGGCAAACACCCGGTAAGTGAATTACAGAAATAATCCTCCAAGAAAACTTCACATCAGTGTTAATAAAGTTTTTAAACAAAAGTGAGTTGCGTCTGTCGACGTAAAATATTGATTATTGTTTGTTTTTGAATTTCGCGCAAAGCTACACGAGGGCTATCTGCGCTAGCTGTCCCTAATTTAGCAGTGAAAGACTAGAGGGAAGGCAGCTAGTCATTACCACCCACCGCCAACTCTTGGGAATAGTGGGATTGACCGTCACATTATAACGCCCCCACGGCTGAAAGGGCGAGCATGTTTGGTGTGACGGGGGTTCGAACCCGCGACCCTCAGATTACGAGTCGAGCGCCCTAACCACCTGGCCATGCCGAGCAATATCGATTATATCACAACAGCTTTACTACTAAAAGTTTGGGTTATTTTGGTCTGTTTACTTTGGAGCTGTATAGAATGGGAGGTCAAGGGGGCACATGAACCCCGGAAAGTTTAACGCTGTTATAACCTGTTCTATACTGCACTCCTCATGAAACTGACATTAGAGAATTATAAAAAAAAGTGTGAGTCTATCAAGAGTTGAATCACTTTTGAACTTCCATACATTAATTCGACATCCCGTCATATAGCAGCTATTACGTCACACAAAAGGAACTACGTTATTAATCGTTTATGGTGTTACCCGCCTCCTTTTTTTTCTCTCTCTTCTCTTTAAATGGCTACTAGGCTAAGCTCTGCTATTTCAACATGATTCCCTGAACGCCTCGCTACCCGTTGGGACGTTACACGCTAACTAAACCTACGGATCTTATCCGGATTTTTCTTTAGATCTCAGAACCTCCGGATTTTTGTTTTTGTTGTTGTTTTATTATTGAAAAATAAATATTTTCTATTTCCCATTCATACATTTTCTAATATCTTATAATTTTCTATAACCTATTAAAAGGAACTTGTGGCAAATCTACTTGAATGCTCATTTCCATATGAAAGTTTTTGTATAAAACAAAAAAGCGTCGAAACTGGGATGGCAAGAGGGCGATTGTCCCACCAATATTCGATGACGAGGAACCCACTTTGAGACGAATAATGCTTGAAGACGGCTTGAATGGGTAATGAATAAAAACTTTAATATAAGTTTAACATAACAGCAAATGTACAACGCTTCGACAAGGTTTGTCATCATCAGGTACACGTAGTTTACACTGACACAGATATATATATATATATACAGTATGGAATAAATAGGTCACATGACAGGATACTGTTGCAAGAACTTAGAAGAGATATCTTGGCACCACGGGGTGTTGGTTTATAGTAGGAATCCATCTTAATTGAACAAAACAACCCTACTCTAAACCAACACCCTGATGATAACAAAACCTTGTCGAAACGTTGTACATTTGCTGTTATGTTAAACTTATATTAAAGTCTTTCTTCATTACCCATTCAAGCCGTCTCCAAGCATTATTAGTCCCACCAATATTTCTATCGATACTGGGATGGCAAGAGAGCAATTGTCCCACCAATATATCTTTTGGGACAGCGGAATATATTTTTTGACCCACCAATGTTTTCTCATGCATCAAGTTAAATTTTGGTATACGAGTGTGCTAAATGTTGAATATTTTACATCACATTCTTTCTGCAATTGACAATATTGTCCAGTGTGGAGTCTTGCTATATAAATTTTACTCACTAATTAAGAAATAATTATGTATGTGTGCGTTAATACTCTGTTATGCTTGAAATGATGAGAAATATGCATTTTTATGAATAATTACTTCATCTTTGCCACCCCAATATATTTCTTGGATCAAAGCCAATGCAAAAAAAATAGGTTGCACATACAAAATAGTGTATTAAAGAAAAATCAAAATAATTTATTTTAGTTAGTCTACAAGATGTTTGAGACACGGGAGTCCAACCATAAATATATATCTTATAATTTCCTATAACTCTCACAAGGAATTTGTGGTAAATATAGTGAACTCAATGGCGTCAAGACGGAGGTAGAGATCAGCATTATCAGATCCGGTGTTCACTCTGCATGTAGTCGATCTCCGAAGTCTTAATTGGCATAAATCGTAGGTCAGCTATTAGGGCAAACCATCAAAACCATAACATACTGATCCAACGTCAATCATATGATGCAAGTTAAAATTTCGACTACGTATTAAATTAATGTGCTAAGTCTGCTGACTTACAACGCTAGAAACTGGGTTTCGATACCCGTGGTGGGCAAAACACAGATAGCCTATTGTGTAGCTTTGTGCTTAATTACAAAGAAGCAAACAAAAGCTATGGTCGTGTAGATGTGTAGCCATCAAGATCAAAAGTTACTTGTAACGTACTGACTCAACGCGTTGTGGAAGTTTGACTATGCAATGAATCAATGTGATATGGTCATGTAGATCTATAGCCATCAAATTCATATTTCATTCATAATGTACTGACTCAACACGTTGTGGAAGTCCGTCTACGCAATGAGTCAATGCGTTACGATTATGTAGATAAGTGTCCATCAAGGTCAAAAGTCACTCATAAAGCATTGACTTCACGCGTTGTGGAAGTTCACTACTACGCGTTGAATTGGGTCAATACGTTTGGCACAGTTAGCTGGAGGTACACGGAGCCATAACGCATTGATCCAATGTGTATTTGACATACACAACGTGTTGAGTTGATACGCTGTGATTTTACTGGCTACGGATCAGACCATAAATTTTCTTTAGTGCCATCTATGGACGTTTTATGGATTAGCAATAAAATCTTTATTTTATCTTTCGCTACTTATTATTTGTTTACAATAACCGAATGAAAAACTTTGTAATAATGCTTCACCAAAACAGGTTTTTCTTATCATTATGATTAATATCAACACACATTAGATGTATGATAATCACACACAAACAACGTCATAAAATGCAAATATAATAAGTTTAAAAGAAATCTGATACACCCGTCGCATTTCATTAGTGCCAAACTACTTGCCAGGGTTAAAATGATAAATATTAGTATATTGAACACAAAACGGTGTAGTTTATCGCACGATACGATTACAGAACTTACGCCAAGAACACGACAAATTCAACAAATAAGAGGAATTAATTACGAACAACAACGACAAAATAAATTTATATCGTTCTAAAGGAAACCTGATCAAGGTATTTCCAAAATATAACAAAGTACGATAAATTGGTAGAAAAAGAAAAAAGTTGTATCACACTGGTTTTTAGTACTGACTGAGATCGTGTATCGTTTGATACAATGAAATATGTGCCACACTTGAATAAAAATAGGGTTAAGACTTCTGATTTCCGGTTTTAACCTATAGAAACCAGAAAAAAACATTGGAAATGGTTATTCAGTTTACGTTAACGTTCCCCACTTTCCCGAGTCACTGGTAAGTTTGTTTTTTACAATTTCATATAAAATGTTAGCTGCTCTTAAAAAGCTTTAACATAAATAGAACTATGTTTTATACCCGTTATTCCTTCGACAACAGAAAGTAGTGCGCAGAGAACATAACGGTATATTAGTTTTACGCATTGCAGCATTAAAAGTGAAAACACCGATTTTAAAATATCTACAGAAAACTAAAAACGAAAACTTCGTAAAACACCAATTTAAAAGTATCTAAATAAAGCTATAAAACAGCTAAAAATAAACACCGAAAAAACAGAAGCCTTAAATAAGGTGAATCTGATCCTCGAAAGGATTCACGAGCTGAATCAACTTTATT